TGCAGAAACACACTTTGAGAACTGCATTTGTGAAGACAGCCTAGCCTAACTTCCCAAGTCCTGGCTTCAACGTGGGTTTCGTGGGATGCCCGGACCCTGGCTGTCTTCTGCCTTTCTTCCCGTGACTACAGTTCAGATTTCTCTTTCAGACCATCTGCTTCTTGCTGGAGCATCTCCTTCATTTCTGGTCTTATTTCCCCAGCTTCTTCAACTGAATCTTTTCCCTAAGTGCCTTTCCACCTTTAACATTTAAAAATCCCTTCTAATTTCAATTAAACTCACTTCTGAATTAAAAATTTGAAATCACTCTTAGTTTTTAATTGCTGTTAGAATTAGGGGAATACCACTATGTTGTTCCACAATTATATTTTTTTCTCTTTTGTGTTGAGACTACAGAGTTCAAAACATCATTATTCAAGACATTTCAAATCTGTTTTGGGCAAATGGTCCAAATGGTATCCTCCCACCGACCGACACACTATCTCCTTAGTAGTAGTATCTTCTTATAAACAGAACTAGTGCAGTTTGAAACATTCCTTTTGGAGCCAAGTATAAACATTATCTAAATGTTGGGTGTAATCCTAGATTGAGAAGGAATCTGTGTGGAATTTGTTTTGAAGTCACTGATGTCTATATCTGCTCAATTCAGAAATTTTTGCTTTCATGCAGCTAATTGCTAGTATTAATTGCTGTCGAGATTTCTTCGGTGGTGATACAAAACTAATGTTGGAACTGACTCTGAATCGTTGCTCTGGTTTATCAACATGTCCATGACTTAAAGGCTCAAAGATTTAATGATCGTATAGGGTTTTCTGCATCTTGCCAGAGAAATCTGGGTGGATTGATACCACCTGACTGTTTATCATGATTGCATAAAGCCATTTATTATGTCTTACCACCTAGGCATGTCAGAAATCTCTAGTGCCCACCAATACCCAGGTCATCCTCTCCTCCCTTGGCATGGTGCTGGACTTCATTTCCAACTGCTTGCAGAGAGGGGGTGCCATGTGCCTGAGTTCTGGCTGATGAATTGTGAACGGAAAATCCTGCAGAGGATCCAAAGGCCCGGGAGGTGACAGAGCTAGGGAAGAAAGTTTGAGTCCCTGCATGACTACGTGGAGCAGAGCACACCCTCCCCACCCCACGGCTCTTTAACGGCATTACGCTGCAACATAAGGGAGGAATCAACCTTTGCCCTAGCTTCACTGTGTAGTTTTTCATTTGTGGGCAGATTCCGGCACAACATCAGCAGAACGGCACAGACCCGTCACATTGCTAGGCCCCTGCCCATCATGGGGGTGGGGTGGGGGGACCCTCTTAGGACATAGGAGGCAAATCCTAATGTTAGAGCACACAAAACATAGATGCTGAGACAATGATGTGTCAGGGCAAGTCAGAAGGTTCCACCCTACAGGAACCCTCAGCTCCTCTCTCCTACTACCATCCCCATGGCCCATCAATCTCTCATCCTACTTTTGGGTTTTTCAAATTCTGATCACCCTATGCTAATTACATAGACAACTTTTTCTCTTCTTTTTCTCACTCAAGAACTACTGCCTTCCTCAGATACTACCTCTTCCATGAAGCTTATCATGATATCTTCCATTTCCAGGGAAAGTTACGTGTAGACATAACACCCTCTACAAAATGTTATTATAGTGATTATCACATCATACTGTGATTATTGATTCAAATGTCTCTTTCACTGGGGTATAACCCCTTGAGGGAGCTCTTATTGGCTTTATTCTCAGTTTCCAACACAGTGCCCAGCACATAGCAAGGACTCAACAAATGTTTATTGAATGAATGAAAAAAAGATAGTTTACCAAATGTCAGTGTACTCTTTTCACTGCTTGTTATAGAAATCCAATTCAGACTGGTTTGAGTAGGAAAAACAAAAAAACTTGGTTCACGTATTTCAAAAATCAAGGAAGGATGTCAGGCATGGCTTGATCCCGGTGCTCAAAAAAAGGTTGTTAAGAATATCTCTCCATTTCGTGTCTGTTCTTCTCTGTGTTGGCTTCATTGTCGGGCGAACTCACCCCTTCTGGAGACAAGACGGTCACCAGTAGATCATGATTTCCCTTCTAACAAGATGAGCAACCCCCAGAGGAAAAAGTTTCTTTCCTCACGATGGTCAGGGGCATAGCTAGGGGCAGGGACCGTGTGATGTATCTGTGCCCATTCTCCTTATGCCAGGCTGGAATCTGCCCACAAATGAATAAATGCATAGTGCAACTCAGGTGTTCACAATCCATATTCAACAAATCTAAAGAAAGAAGTCTAGGGTAAAACCGAAGGAGAAGATGTCCAATTAGCTTATTTTTTGAAAACCCCATAAGCTTGTTACCAGGGATATTTGTCCCACTCTGTACCTCATCATGAGGCGTCATGCATCTGGCCTCCTTGTTCCAGCCTTCAAGCTCTCTAATATCCAGAAGGCAGGGAGGGGCCACCCTGAGGTCCAGCCAGGGCCCTGACTGCAGGGGGTCAGGGGTTTGCTCACAAATCCTTTTTATGATCTCCAGATCCACTCGTTTCAGGAAATCAATGTCTGTTTCCCTTTCTACCTCTTTTGCCTCTGAATGGTACCAGCATCTGGAAGAATGAAATAGACACTTTTTGCACCAGGTTCCAGGCTGATGGCTAGATCCTTTTCTGCCTCCCTTTTCCCCTCCAGGCTGGGATCAGAGCAAGCCAGTGGCATTGATGACAGTTTTCCTGGTTCTGGGATGAAAGGGTTCCTGGGGCATCAAGACCTAGAAACCTCCAATGGAATCTAGGACAACTGATCATCTAAAATTATCCTGTAATTAATAAGTTAGTCACTGCTCCTTACTAAGTGGGGTAGTCACCACCACATGCTAAAGCTATTTAAAACTGCTAAATCTCGTGTTCAGGAAGAATTCTGGCTCTATGCATTTCTCAAAGCCCTTTCTTTTATTACAAAATGAACCAACGAATACATCCTTTCAGAAAACCCTGTGCCAACTTCAAAGTAAACACAAAACACTGTAAAGTACCTTATTCGGTCCCCCAAATGGACTTTAATCTATCTCTCTGCTGTGTCCCTATAACTATACATTCAATAGGGCCTTTCTCAGTTCAGCCTTATTTGTCCTCCTCTTCTGCTTATAAGCCCTTGGAGGGCAGGGGTACTCATCTTGTTCATCTTTGTTTCTTCTACTTGGCCTTGGCACATGGCCTGTGCTGAACCCTACCTGACTCCTGCCTTTTTTCCCTCCCCCTCTGCTGCAGCCCCTTGGTCCTCACATGTAGGCCTGGAAGCAGAATCAAGTCCCTTAGAACGAAAGTTCCAGAAGCTCGTTGTCTTCTGGGCTACGCCCACAGGGCTATTAAAGTGCCTGCTGCCTAGTGAACGCCCAGTAAACATTTGCTGAATGAATGAAGTTATGATGGTCGTGAACCAATGTCTCACCTTCTGTTCAAGTTTACTTGGTTGAGCTTCAGGTTAGTCTCCCTGCACTCCAGTCACCTGCTGATGAACTTGTGCTCTCCGCCTGTCCACTGGACCCTAGCATTTTTAGCTTTGCCTCCCTTGGTCTTCTCGTTGCCTTGCTTTGCCACCTTGTAGCCTCCTCACCTTGCACTCTAAGTAGTGCGTGTCTGCCTCGCTTCTTTCCTGCTGTCACTGTCCTCTTCGGACACAGACTGATCCATCTATCCCTGCCCAGCACTTCCTGTGAGGGTCCTGTCACTAGCCCCAGACTCTCCAAGTCAGAGGTCTTATTCTGAGTATTTTGCCATACCCATGGTGCTTTGTACATGCAGATGGACTGAATTATCTCTTTGGTCAATTCAGAAGGACTGAATGGTATCTTTGGTCCTGTATCTTTTGGTCAGTCATCAGCTTACTCAGGGGAAATGTAATTATTTTTGCAAGACTGAAACCTGGCACCCTACTTCATAACGTGTGTCTCATTCCAAGCTCACCATAAAAGGAGGCCGTGCATCTATTATATGCCAGGTACTCAGGGCATTTTCCTCCAGATCAGACACTGGCGTTGCTCCTTAAACTATGCATACACTCCTACCTTATTTAGATCATTGATCGCTGCTGATATATTGCTTAGTTTTGGAGCCCTCCACTAAGTTTTTGATAACATCTATTTATAACATTTGGTCTGGGGAAGGAGCAGATAAGCAAGTTCGTTGGGATTATTTGGTGTGTGATTAGCACTTTCACTGTCTCTGAACACAGTTAAAATCTACTCTAATACTTACATTTGTAGGAGAGCAGGAATGTATCAATGGACCTATAAACAGATTAATATGATGGGGGGCATGTTTGTCTAGTTAGAAATTAAAGTTTATCATTAACTAGATGTTTCACTAGTATTCATGCTACGTTGTTTAACAGGTAGCGCTTGCGGAGCTGAATCTAACACGAACTGTTTGTCTCCCGAATTCCAGGAAGTCAGCTATTGAGGGGGGAGGAGGGAATGTGCATGTTTCAGGGGCTGCCAAGCACTCAGTACAAGGAAGACGATGTTTGGAGAATCTGCACATTCAAAGCCCCACAAATTCCTGCCCGCAGACAGCAGGGTGCCCCGGGTCTCATCTCAGGCACCCCATGCTGCTTGCCATTAGTGTGTTAGTCTGTCAGCCGACATCACAGGGAATCTTATGCCTCGGATGCTGCCTTTCCCGAGGCTCTTAGACCATGCATTGCCTGCCTTTGATAGAACTATGAGAGAGCGGAGGTTACCAAACCCAACCGTGGGTTATTTCGGGGGCTCCTTTTCTATCAGCTGCCTATTTCTTAAGTAATCTCGACACCCGACGTGTGGCTCAAACTCAGGAGCTGGAGATCAAGGGTCATGGGCTCTCCCGACTGAGCCGGCCAGGCGCCCTGTAAGCTGTATATTTTTAACAGAGTGCCTGCGATCACCAAGCTGCACATTTTTCTTTCAGGTGAGTTCCAATGAACTGGCTCACAAAGGGGAAACACAAACATGGCGACGCATGCTGAGAGCAGAATGGCACCACCTTTGGGGCAGAGCCTCCTGCTGGCCAGCACGCTGGGCATCTTTGTACTCCACAGCTTCTCGAGTGGGCAGAAGAACAGCACGCTGATTTTCACGAAGGAAAACACCATTCGGAACTGTAGCTGCTCTGCGGACATCCAGGACTGTGACTACAGTTTGGCCAACCTGAGGTGCAGCTGCAACACCATCCTGCCTTTGGCCCTGGAGCAAGCCAGCTACAGCGACCATCTGACCATCTGGTTCACCGATGCATCTGCCCTGGGCCTCCTGTTGAACTTCACACTGGTCCAGGACCTGAAGCTTTCTCTGTGCGGTACCAACACTCTCCCCACTGAGTACCTGGCCATCTGTGGTCTGAAGAGGCTTCGCGTCAACACCGAGGCCAGGCGCCCGTCACCAGAGCAGAGCCTACTCATCTACAACGGCGGGGAAAGTGAACCCAGACAGAAGCCCGTGTGGTTTCGAAGAGGCTGGCAAACATGTATGTACATCTCATTCTTAGATATGGCACTTTTCAACAGGAAATCCTCCTTAAAAGCCTACAGTATTGAAGACACTGCCCACATCACCAACCATTTTCCTTACTTGTCTTACTTCGAAACCTTCCCGATTTTAAGCAATAGGAGCTATGTCATCACGTTCATTTACTAATGTTGTAAAAGAGGCCAACCGCCAGGAACTTTGGCAAACTATGGATAACTTGAACAAGGAATCTGGGAATGAGGCCATGGGTATCCTTACCTACAACTTCACCTGTCTGCCCAGCCCCCATTCACCACAGGGCCACACATACAACCAGCCCTCTCTGCTCTCCTCCCTGCCCAACCACGGGAGCTGTTTCAAAAAACAAAAGAAAAAGAAACAAACAAACAAACAAAGAAACCACCCCAAAACCAACCAGACAAACAAAACGACTTGAGTCCAGAAGGTCTTGAGAGCAGCCAGAGTTTGGGTCTGTGGAGAAATGTCAGATCAGAAATGGAGAAAGCAGGGCACACCAAGGACTGCTTAGTGGAACTCAGCACAGGGGATGACCCCCAAGGAAGATATCTTTCTTCAAAATACTGCCTTCATTTTTTTTCTGCTTCCTTTTGTTGCTTTGACTGGAATTCCCCTAAGAAGAGGATAGATTTCAGAGGCTTCAGGACTGTGAGTCCCACAAAATGATTAGGTTCTCTTAGACTGGTATTTCCCGAATAGCTCTTAGACTGATACTTGCTAAGAATATATGCACTGAGCAAGGGGAGTTTCAAGAGTGGAACAGGTCGGGTTAGGGCACTAGGGTTCGAGGAGTGTGATACAGAAATGAAAACCGGAGCACACAAAAACCGATGGCATATATCTCAAAATTTTGCTTAGAGCAAGGCCTAAACCCAGGGAGTTTCTCTCTTGTATCCCTTTTCTTTCATTCGTTCTTTGCCTTCTTCTTTGTCCCCACTGTACCACTTCGCCTTTCTCCTCCCATTTTCCTCATCCTCCCCCTCCCCCTCCCCTTCCTCCTTCTGCTCCAGAAATAAGAACTTAGATTAGTACCATTAGAACTGCATTTAACACCACCAGGGGCTAGCCTGGGAATCTAATAATCATTTATAACGTTACGGGCAAAAATGCTCATATGACTAAAAGATAATTAACAAAAGAAATTTTAGGGCTCAGTCCACTCAGATGTTTAATTCTGGAAAGTTAAGACATTTTGTATGACATGGTTGACACAAAATGGTCTTAGGTGTGATGACAAAAGGAACCAAGGTAACATATTAAAAAAAAAAAAAAAAGGAAACAGACCTCAGTGTACAAAAATTTTCCTCACAGACTCAATTTACCACTGAGATACAATGTAAAGAATCCATGGCAATTACGATACAAATGACCAAACTTAGAGTGCAAGGAACTAGAAACATAATTGCATTTATAATGTCATAATGGTAAGAAAGAGTCTTATTATAAAGTAACAGGATGTCTTGGGGCTGATGATTTCAGATCACATTCACCACATTCTTCTCTTGCCCTTAACACAGGGTAACTGAAATAACCTGAAATATCTTACATTCGCTTAATTGGTGGGGGATTTGGCCATTCAGGCTAATTAGCATGAGTCCATAATGTCAGTGTTTAAATTAGGCCAAAACTAAGACCAAAGTATGAATTTTAATAGAATAATGCAATGACCTCATTATTGACATTGTATTTGGGAGGTAAGTTTAAAGTGAGAGAAAAAGACAAGGAAAAAAACGATTTGGAAAAGGGAAGGCAAGAAGAATGTAAGTGAAAGGTTGAATAATAAATATATTTACTATCATGAGTTACTGAAAATGTAAAAAACTGAATTTTAATGGCTTTTTATTAATAAAGTACAAAATTAAATGATTTAGACATTATGAGCATCTTAATATGCATTCTCTTCCATTTGGTGGCTTTGAATAGTTTCAAAGCCCTTCCACAGATGTTGTAAGTGATTCTTGTAAGAAATAATTGTAGATCAATGGGACTTAAATCAATAGAAAATGAAAGTTAATTTAGTAATAAATCAAGCTTGCCTGATTTATTTCTGGCCTGAAAATGTGGTTCAGGTTGCCCTGATAGAGGATAAATAAGGAACAGAGAAAATCCACAGCGCAAACATGGGAGAAAATGGCACTTGGTGCTCAGTGGATGGTGAGGGTTGGGGGCGACAACAGGGAGCCATGGGGATAGGGGAAACTGAAGTATTTGCCCCACCTGAAGGGTCCACAGCAGCTCAGCTCTAGCTCTGAGTGTCACTGTGGGAGAATACAATGGGGCCAGATCTTATCCTTCAAGAAAATTAGGAATTCCATGTTTTTGTGTGAAATCTTACAGTTTGTAAATGCTGGCACACTATTTTGCTTTTTTGTTTGTTTGTTGCTTTCAGTAACACTGTGTGGTCAAACAAACCCTGTCAGTGGTCCCCTTAAGCTTGGGGCTGGCCATTTGTCACCTCTGATCAGTGGTGTGCTGGTAAAAGTTTAACCACCAGCTCTCCAAAAAAAAAAAAAAGTACATAGATACATATGTACATAAGTTTATTATAAATTTTGCTTTTTATAAATAAAGGATGTATATCACAATTTACAAAATGATAATAAAATATACTGTATTCTTTATTATAAACTCTATGTATATAATTAATTCCCAAAGAATTCTTTAGGTGATTTTTGGCAAATTCTTCTATCCAAAGCTAACCTAGGGTTGTGATTGATGCGTGAGTATAGTTCTGGCATGAATGTTGGCTGATATTTTTATTTACATTAGGAATAAGAGAAAAATTAACAAAGATTTTTGTGGGAATGTCATTTGCTAGTCAATGATGTAAGCAAATTCTTTGTTGGATCAAATAATATTTTTCAAATACTGGAGGAATATTTCCTTAACTTGGAGGACTATTCAGAATGTGAAAGCTATTGAAATGATACACGTTTAAGTTTAATCTGCATTGTTAACATTTTCTCCAGCACACTCAACAAAACAACAAATCAAACCCTGATATGTACTGTTTTCCAATGTTAGTGGTGTAAATACTGACATCATAACCAATTTCAAGCTACCAAGAGAAGCCACTGAACACAGAGTTGGGCAAAGATGCACAGTAGGACATGATTAGATAGTACTTCTACGTACAGATGGAATAGGCACAAATAATGTCAAGAGCATAAATAATAGTAAAATGCAGTAGAATTAAGAAGTGGTGAGTTTTGAGAATTATCTTTGTTTTTTTATACAATTAATTGTAAGTTTCTATAATTTAATTTTCAATAATGACTAACAACCAGCTTGCAAAATTCCTGGAAAGTTAACAGTCAGCCCTGGTGAGCCAATGCAAGAGAGCCCTAGTGCCCCACTCACTGGTAGAAAGAGATGCAGAAGGAATGGAGTGAAGACAATGACCTCAGGGTTGTGGAAGATCACTTGCAGTATTTTTTTTTTAAGATTTATTTATTATTTTATATATATATAGAGAGAGTGTGTATGTGTGTGTGTGTGGGCACATGCGCTCACGGGGGTAGGGGTGGGCAGAGGGAGAGACAGAGAATCTCAAGCAGACTCGCTGCTGGGCATGGAGCCTGCCACTGGGCTCGATCTCAGGACCCTGAGATCATGACCTGAGCTGAAATCAAGAGTTGGACGCCCAACTGACTGAGCCACCAGGCACCCCCACTTGCAATATTGATATGCCTCATTTCCTCATTTGTCAGAGCTACCGGTGGGAATTTTAGGAAATTTTCCCTCCCCTCCCATGCAGTAGCTCACTCTTCAACATCTAGAGTCAGGATCCTAAAACCCCTTAGATGGGAGATTGGGGGTTAGGGGAGTAAGGAATCTAAGGCCTTATGAGAAAAAAAGAATTAGGGGTTAAAACTCTTGAGTTAAGCTATGAAGGGCTCCTGAAAAGAAGAACAAAAGAATCCAGAGAAGCTATTAACAGCATTTTTTTATTTAAATTCAATTAGCCAACATATAGTACATCATTAGTTTTGATATAATGTTCAATAATTCATCAGTTGCGCATAACACCCGGCGCTCATCACAACATGTGCCCTCCTTAATGCCCATCACTCAGTTACCCCATCCCCCCCACCTCCATTTCCACAACCCTCAGTTTGTTTCCCGGACATTAACAGCATTTTACACACATTAAATTAAAAATGAGAGAAGGGCAATCAATTTCCATTTCCCAGAGTTGCTCACTAGTAACTTCAGGATCTCTTTCTCCAGAATGTACAGGAATACGTTTGTAAATCTGATTTGTTACAGGAAAAATGATGTGAAAAGAAAAAGTTGTTTTATGCTGAGCCCTTTTTCTGTTCAAATTTTTAATGCATTTCAGATTTAGCAGAGTCCGTAGTCACAGCTCACAACTCAGAATGACACACAAGTGTCATCAGGCCACCTGATGTAGCCTCCAGGAAAGCACTGAGGGGGCGGGGCTGGCTCTGCACAGAGCCCAGTGCATCATAACACGTCGCCAATTTAAATGATACAGGCACATCACCACACAGACGAATAAATAAAGTGGTAATAACAGCTCAAAAACAGATACCCCATTTTATTTTATTTTAAAGATTTTATTATTTATTTGACAGAGAGAGACCCAGCGAGAGAAGGAACACAAGCAGGGAGAGTGGGAGAGGGAGAAGCAGGCTTCCCGCCGAGCAGGGAGCCTGATGCGGGGCTCCATCCCAGGACCCTGGGGTCATGACCTGAGCCGAAGGCAGATACTCAATGACTGAGCCACCCAGGCGCCCCCAGGTCCCCCATTTTAAAAAATCAGCACATGTTAAGAATAAAATCACAAATCCATGGGAAAAGAAATTTAATAAATGGTGTGCAGAGGGGAGAAAAGATCAGGATACACACTAAAATATTAATGGTACTGAATCTGGGTGATAATATTAAAAGTGAGTTTCATTTTCTCCTTCCCGAACATCTTGATTTCCTAAACTTTTTTGAATAAACATACAATCACTTTTGTAATAGGGAAAACCCAGTAAGAGTATTTTTATATAAACAAAGGCTGGAACAAGTGCTTACTCCTTAAAGCTACAGCCTGACCTCCTACCCAACATCGTAATGTTAAGTTGGATAATAGTAAAATGAAACTACAAACAACTCTAAAATATAGGAAAGAAAAAGAT